GCAAACTAATACAACCCCATTTCCAAAAAAGTTGGGATGCTGTGCAGAATGTAAAGAAAAATAGAACGCAATCATATGCAAATCATGTAAACCATATTTTTAATGGAAAATACTACTACAAATACTACAAAGACAAGATATCAAATGTTAAAACTGAGAAAATGTATTGTTTTATATATATGCCCATTTTCAATTTAATGCCTACAACTCATTCCAAAAAAGTTGGGACAGGGGCATGTTTACCACTGTGTTTCATCACCTCTTCTTTTAACAACACTCTCTAAGCGTTTTTCCCGTTCTTGTTTGATATAGGATTTCAGTTGCTCAACAGTTCGGGGTCTCCTTTGTCGTATTATTCATTTTATAATGCGCCAAATGTTATCAGTGGGTGACAGGACTGGACTGCAGGCAGGCAGGTTTAGCACCTGGGCTCTTTTAATGTGGAGCAATGCTGTTGTAATACATGCAGAATGTAGTTTGTCATTGTCTTGCTGAAATAAGCAAGGCCTTCCCTGAAAATGATGTTGTCTGGATGGCAGCATATGTTGCCAAAACATGTACATATTGTTCAGCATTAATGGTGCCTTCAAAAATGTGCACATCACTCATACCAGGTGCACTAATGCTCCCCTATACCATCACGAATACTGGCTTTTGAACTGTGCACTGATAACAAGCTGAGAGGTCTTTAGCCTGGAGGACACAGTGTCCATCATTTCCAAAAAGAATTTCAAATGTTGATTTGTTGTAAATGAGCTTGGGCCCAGGTGAAAGTGGCAGCATCTCTGGATCCTGTTTCTAAATGATTTCTTCTTTGCGTTTTAGAGTTTTAACTTGCATTTGCGGATGCAGCGTTTAACTGTGTTCACGGACAGTGATTTGCAGAAGTGTTTCTGAGCCCATGCAGTGATTTCCACTACAGAATCATGTCTGTTTTTAATGCGGTGCTGCCTGAGGGCCCAAAGATCATGGCTAGCAAATACTGTTTTTTGGCCTTGTCCCTTATATACAAAGATTTCTCCAGATTCTCTGAATCTTTTAATGTTATTGCTATTTTCCTTTATTGTTCCTTGCTATTTTATGTTGAGAAATGTTATTCTTGAATTGTTGCACTATTTGATTGTGCAGTGGTGAACCCCTCCCCATTTTAACTTCTGAAAGACTCAGCCTCTCTGGGATGCTTTTTTATACCCAATCATGTTACTGACCTGTTGCCAATCCACCACCAGTTTTTTTTTTCTTAGCATTACACAACTTTACCAGCCTTTTGTTGCCCCGTCCCAACTTTTTTAGAATGTTTAATTGGCATCAACTTTCCCAAAGGCATCAGCAGACACATGTTAATGGTCTGCTATCTCAGCTAATGTTACTCGCCTAATCTTACTTATTACTTATAATTTCTTACTTACAATTTCACCTTCACTTGTATATTTTAGCTGGAGAAGAGCAGCAGAGAGTACATAGTTACGCAGCGTTATGCAATGCTGAGAGTTGAAAAAGAGTTAGAATGCTGTGGTAAAATCTATTAGACAGCTACAGAGTCTTAACCAGCTGTTTAACACAGCCTATCCGCTGTACCCACACACACACGCACACACCACACTTGGACTGTGGAGGTAATATAATCAGGCTCATACTGTCCATCTGGCCTGAATCAGTCCTGAATCACACAAACACACACACACAAATAAACACACACTACTCATGTGTACATGTCCAGTGAGCCTCCCTGGTTTAAGTTGATTTAGTAGGTGCAGGAAGCAGGAACGACAAGACCATATATGGGATCAGCACACACACACACACACACACACACACACACACACACACATGCACATACAGACACATCTATCGACCCTTTACTCAATAAATCTCTTTATAACCATTCACCTCCTATTGACCTCAACAAAGTCAATCCACATTTAAATCACACCTACTCCACAGATTAACACTAACAACTGCGTTAACATTTGACACTTCTGCAACAGCAACAGGCACTTCAAGCACTGATGACTGAAGGGAAGGCTACGGCAACTGGTGTAACAAAAACAGTCAAAAGTTGACAAAAGCACAGCGTACACAGGATTAAATCTCACATAAAAATTCAATGCTCGACTGTGTAGTGGTTAGGCTGGAGAGGAAGACGTTGTCTTATGGAAATAATTTGGCTTGATTCATTTCTCTAGGTACTGTTAACATTCAAACTGGCAACTATTGAAAATAATTTCTTCAGTCTGAGAATTGCTGTAATATTATGTTGTCATGTACCAAGTAGGACTGTAATACAAATTCAGTAGCACAAAGGAAGCAGACAAAGGAGTATATTTATACACTTGTTTATGAAGCAAAGGGCTATTTTTAAGGTATTTGGGTAATTTTGTGTATGTTTTAACATACATTTTTAAAATTTGATTTTAAACCTTCCTACCTCCTTTATATGCAGGCTGTTTAGTGTTTTTAGGCCATCGCGCTTTGGCCACCCAAGGCAAAATTTTGACACCCCTGGTTTACAGCAATTATAATCAATAATAAATTATTAAGTTTTTAGTACATTGTGTTTTGTTGCTGTTTTACCCTTAACAGTAGTAAAATCACTGTAACTTGTTGTCTTTAGGGGCTTACTGCGGTAGTCTGTGGATTGATCACTGTTGATTAATCGCTACAACCCTCAACTAAAGTATAATGGAAGGACAGCGTTTGAGTCTGAGAGAAGGTGTGGCAGAATGCATGTTGGTTCTGTTTGGTATTGAACACTGATGTGTGTATGTGTTTGTGTGTGTGTGTTTGTGTGTGTGTGTGTGGGGGGGGGGGGGGGGTAACCTTCCTATCATGTATTACTGTAGCATATAATCAATGTATGAGAGAAAGAGAGAGAGAGAAAGAGATAGAGAGAGAGAGGGGTAAAAACAGAACAAAGCAGAGTGGGAGGATGTTAGCTAAATAATAGAAAAAGAACAAGATAAGGACCGAGGGGAGAGAAAACGAGAGCAAGAAAGACGGAGCGTGACTGAGAGCCTACGTGATGGAACGGGTGCAGAGAGAGTGTGAAAAAAGACAGAGGAAGGAGAGAAGAAGGGATGTGGAATGGAGAGCAAGCGAAAACACTGCAACAAAGAGAAGGATCGTGACCCTCTCACTGTTTCCATTCCTACAGAGAAGCAATCAGCGGAGTTCAGGACACACTGACTGACTCTGAGCTGCAGAAGTGAACTGCAGGAGAGATTAAAAATGAAATGAGAGAGAGTGAGAGAGAATAGCTTATCTCCACAGCTCTCTCTATCGCCTCAGGTGGATTTTGTCTGAGTACAGTGTATTAACTGAAAGCTGAACGTTTGCAGGCTACAAAGATACAGATAATTACAGCGCAGACTGAGTGGAAGTGTGCTTCTCTCTCACTCACACACACTCTCACACACACAGCAGTGTAAATGTATGCAATGTACGCAACTTTTCTCAATACCACATAGAACAATTCCAAATAAAAACTGTAGCTGCTAATTTTCAGCTTTACCATGACACACAGCAGTATAGTGTAGTACAGTATGAATATAGGCCTGGGCGAAAGGGTGATGTAATTGGATATCAGCAATAAATGACAAGTAACCTGATAAAGACTCAAAGGTGATATTCGCGATTTTCAGTAAAGAGATCTGATAGAGAACCAGAGAGGACTAATTAGATCTTTCGGACTGGCCTTCATAACAGCCTCTTACATGCTTCATATACTCATTGGCATTTCCTAATACACATTCTTGAAATCACCCTTGAAAAACAACAATATTTACATTTCATAATTTAATGTATTTTCATTACTGCAGTTCAGTATCCAGTAGATAGCAAGGCTGAAGCCCAGCTGCAGCTGCTATAAAAGCCATGACTGTAGCCCTCTCATTCAAATCCAGCTTTTATGAGTCAAGTAGACACCCAGCCAGGCATATACTGTGCGATTTTAGCCTGTTTTTAAGCCCGATTTGGTCGTAGCTGACTGAATTTCATGATTGGGCTGAATTTCAGCTTCATCGGCTGTCATTTGCCGTGCAGTGTGAGAGGAGAAATGATGCCCAATTAATGACCCAAATAAGCCTCATGAACCGATTCCTCAAAGTCACACCCAAAACCACACACAATCACAACCACTGCTCCTACACAGAGGCAATAAAATCCACATTTGCAGCACCAGTGAGGTATAGCGAGGTATAAATAAATGTGACGAGGTATAAAAACCCATGTGACGTCATGTCAGTCGGACCGAGTGTTTTCGTACAGTGTGAGCACATAAGTCGCAGGATTTGGCCGTACACGATAGGCAATTGCACAATTGCACAGTGTATGCTTGGCTTAAGAGTGTAATGAATTGTTGTTTTGTTTATTGCCATCATGAATTTAGGTTTACTTTGTTTTAGTGAGTTACTTTTATTTATTTTACAGAATTATTTAGTTTGACTGGCGATTTGAGAAGATTTTTGGAGCTCATCTGAACACAGGCCATTTTATCAGAAACACCTACCACATACATGCACATTGTAGGTTTACAGTTACTGTAGCCCATCTGTAGAGGCAGGTTAGTGCAGGTTGTGCTGGCATGACTAATAAAGCTGCATTTGGAGACTTTTAATCACTTTCCACTTTATTACATACCTCTACTGTTCTGAGTATTAGTCATCTTCTAGCCATTCTAGCCAGTCAGTTTCTGACTACAGGCTAAATATTTTTGATTAACTGACTGTTCTTAACCCAGAAGGTGTTTAAAAACCTGACCCGCTTCTGCGACCAGCACAACACACTAGGATGTCACTATGCCAGTTTAACTGCAGTACTGAGAATGAGCCACCACCAAAATAATAACTGGTCAGCAGTAAGTGGACCTGTGGTGATCTCTTTCCATTGATAGATGGGGGCTGATAAATTGAGACTGCATGTACAAGGTAGGTGTACCTAAAAACATGCAGCTCGGAGTATGTCCATGTATGTGTGTTTGTGCATGAGACAGTGACACTCACTCTACAGGAGGGTTGATGTCATCTGGTTTGGTCTCGAAGAAGCGCAGGACCTCTTCGCTCTGGGAGATCTGGGGAGGAAGTCGCACCAGCGCCTGATAGCCAACCAGGAAATGACACAGGACAATCAGCAGAGGAACAGCACGACTTCCAAACAAAACCAACCCACACTTTTACTGCTGATGCCCTGGAGGATGATTAAGTTCCTCTAACGTCACTGTCATTGTGCGTCTGACTGAAGGCCTGCTGCTAAATTGTAAAGTCATTGCTAATTTAAAGCAGTAGGGGTGGGCGACATGGGCAAAATGTAATATTTCAACACATTAAGACATTTTCACAATACACAATATGTATCACAATACCTAGCTTTTCTGAAGTTTGCTAACAAGTTGGAGTGGGTACAACGTGCCAGTGAAACAGCAGTGTCAAATAATAATAATAAAAAAGAAAAAACTAATAGTGTCAAAGATAATGCATTAGTAATTTATTAGCGTAATAACTGATTAACGTAACTAACGCCACCCTGAAGCTCAGCTGCTCGCGCACATTAAAATACAGCTTTAAATGGCGAGTTCCATTGACAGCTCACCAGAACTAGAACAGTAAGGATATGTTTTCTCAATGATCTGGAAAATTACAGTTAATTTCTCAGAAATACTGCCTTTTACTGTAATTTAGCAGCTTCACTAGTTCAAATAGGTCTGACATACAGTATTCTACCATTATAATAACGGTAACAACCATTAAAATAAACGTGAATGTCTGTGAAATAATGGTGATAATTTGCTTTTGTGAATTTCTGCAAATTAAAATACAGTATATGTATGGTTTATATACAGGCACATATCCTTTTTTCAGGTACTGGCCATTAAATTGTACAGTACTTTAAAAGTGATAATACTACTTTTTCACAGTGTGATCAATTTGTTGATCATCAAAGTACATAGAGTCTGAAGTATCATATAAAAGCAAAACCCACTGCTATCAGTTATTCGGTAGACTATGCTGCACAGGGCTTGTGGGAGAGCTATGAAAAGCAACAAGCAGCAGTCTACAGCTCTCCTCAAAACACGTTGTAACATACTGCTATGAGAGCACAAGGGCTACAGTTGTGGAAGGCGTGGAACAAGCAGCCACTGTTGCTCTCACTGGACATTGATGACGATAGCTGGAAACTGCACCGTATGTTAAGCCAATGTTAAATCATGTGATTTACATATGATGTTCAGGTTCATTTAAATGCTGAGTTCACATGATGGAAATAATGTTTCTGAAAAGCTACAAAACAAAATAGTCTGCTTTTAAATAAAAAACTTTCTTTAGGATCAAATTTGAGCGAAAAAGAATGTGATTAATCACAAGTAATCGTTTAAATTGTTGAAATACTATATAACAAGCATAATGACATTTTTACTCAAGCTAATAAGGCAAAAAAGGAAAAAGCAAGCAACAAAATACCAGTTGTTAGTACTTCTTTTGACAGTGTGACTCTAGCAGTTAATAATTACAGACTCTAAGCATTTGGTCTAAATCTCCATTTTTTAGTTAAGCATGCAACTGTTCAGTGTTGTAGAAACACCTGTTATGTACCCTGAAAATACAGATATAGAATATTGTGACATAATTTATTGCAATAACGATAACACTTTTTTGCCCACCCCTAACCAACAGCTAGCAGCCCTACTTGGTGACATTGCTTGGTTCTTCAGAGTACATTAAAACAAATATCCTTCATTTGTCCCACAATATTTAGTACTGAAAGATACTGCAGTGGCACAATTATAGCAATAGGTGGAGCTAAACTGATGCTGCATTTTCAAACATGCGAAGGTGAAAAGGACTAATTAAAAGATACAGTCCCTGCAGTGCTCTGAATTTGGGTATCAGTGGTATGCAGTAATAAACAGTTGATGCGTATAACAATAACAGAAAAAGTAATTTACATATACATACATATGTTTTGGCTTAACATCTGCATTCACAGTATATCTAGTTTCCAAAGCTATGTATAGTTATTAGTTTCATAAAGCAGCACATATGAAATACAACATCTCATTTGTACACTATACCCAGTGGACTGGTAGGATTTGCTTCAGCTGATAATTCATTAGCAAAGCCCAACAGCCAGTAAGGAAGCAGAGCAAGAGAGAGACAGAGAGAGAGAGAGAGAGCAAGAGATAGAGGCAGAGAAAGAGAGAATGAGTGAGAGACATGGAGAACTTGTGAAGAGAATCCCTGGAGTAAGAGCATTCTTTGAGAACATCGAGCAATTACACAGAGGCCGTTTGTCTAATTAAAGCTTACAGGAAATGGCTGGTAAACATCGCCCTCTCCACCACTTCAAAGCAAATTACTCTCTACAACTGGGCACTAATGTGCTGCTTCCTCATACAACCCAGTGCAAGCCTTAAAGACTAGCGGACACTGATAAGACAGCAGTGGTCAGAATGTTCTGTAATTGACAGAAAACTCAAGCCAAGTACACACATGCACTACAGTTCAAAAGTGTGGAATCAGTGTTTCAATTCTATAAAACGTGGCAGCAGATAAATGTACAAGGTGGTTATAATATACAGTTTCACATATTCAAAATAATTGGCAGTAAGCCGGAAGCAAACACACAGAAACAACCTAACTATTTCAGACTGTTTTGAACAATCTCCATCCTGGACGGTGCTCTCAAAAACGAGTCACTGAAAATGTGGGGACTGGAGGCCAAAACACAGAGAAAAACAGTGTTTTCAAGAATATTCAGATGTGTGTGAATGGGCCATTACAAAGTCGTATAGCAACAAGAATGCTATACAATTAATAACATTAATATCCAAATCTTGAGATAGAGAGAAAAATATTGTAAAAAATACCTGAAAGTTACATTTTATATTTAAAAAATTATAATATTTGCTGTTCAATTTATAATAGTTAACACCATACAAGTGACTACATTGTATAAGTTATAATAATAACACTACTTGGCTAAATGTATGTGGATTCTCCTACAAATTATTACAGATACATCAATTTGTGTAAATATAACAAGTGTATAAAATCAAACACATAGCCATGCAACCTCCACTGACAGACATTGGCAGTATAATGAGTCATACTAAATGTGACACTGTCGAATCGAATGCCATCTTTGCCACAAGTCATTAAATTTCTGCCCCTCTATATCTGCCCCTGTCAACTATAAGCATTATTATTGTGAAATGGAAGCATCTAGAAGCAACAACACCTCAGCTATGAATTGGTAGACCACTTAAACTCAAAGAACAAGGCGGCCTAACTGTGATAAAATCACACATCTGGCAGTTTATTGGATGAATCTACGTGTGGTGGATGCCAGGAGAATGCTACCTACTGGAATGCTAGTGTCAAAAGTAAAGTTTGGTGGAGTGGGGATAATGGTCTGGGGCTGTTTTTCAGGGTCAGCTTTATAAAGACATAGTTTGACAAGTCTGGTGAGAAGGAACTCCAGCGGCCGGCACAGAGCCCTGACCTCATACCTACTGAACACCTTTGGGATGAACTAGAACACTGATTCTAAGTCAGGCCTTCTCGTCCAACACCAGTGACTGACCTCACAAATGCTTTTTTGACTGAATGGGCACAAATTCCCACAGACACACTCCAAAATCTTGTGGAAGGCCTTCCCTGAAGAGTGGAAGCTGTTAAAGCCACAAAGTAGAGGCCAACTCCTTATCAATGCCCACTGTTTTGGAATGGTCAGCGGTCCACATACTTTTGGCCATATAGTATATATAAATATTTACTTTCTTATTCCTTATACATTTCTGCTATAATACATTACTTGGTAGCTACTTAACTGAACCTAAATAACAGCATCTAGAATTTTTCTTTAGTTGTTTATGAAAAGTGGCATAACAAAGTAATAGCACATTCGTAGCATCATATTTTACCACTTACATTAACATATTACTTCATAAGAATCTATAAACAGAATATATAGTGCTAAAGTGCTGTGAAAATGCCATGGTGCTTGCTGCCATAATGACCAGCTTCCCAAACACCCCATCATGCTCATCTCAGTCTCTCTAGCTCCTTCAAGCAGCTGTCCTCTATCGCTGTGTGTTTGGTAACATCTGTGGCGTGTTTATGTATGTGTAAAACTGGCTATCTGCCATCAGGAAAGAAGAAGAGGGAGAGGAAAAGAGATAAGAGACTTGTGAATGAGAGAGGGAAAGAGAGAGAAAGAGTGACAGGGAGAGAGAGAAGTTGAGGGAAGTACTAAACAAAGTAGACAGTGACACTGACAGGTAATATTTACTGAGATATAAGACGAAAGATGAATAAAACCTTTATCATTTCTTAATTGCTTGTATTCTAAAGTTGGAAGACGTTGAATAATTGTTTTTTAACAACAACAAAGCATATCTGTATCTTTTCCGTTTGTTGACAAGCTCAAGTCTTCTAATAATGTTTTGTAAACAGGACACTAACTTGGCTTAAATTAAAAAGAAACCTGCACTGTCATTTTAGTAAGCACATTTACAACCTTGTTTCTAGAATTGATGTCTCCAATGTCTCTATTTTAATTTCTTTATTTAGGATAATTCTTTTTGTCTTTTTCCTTTAGATTTTTTAAGCTAAAAAAGAAAATTTAATTTGTTTAAATAGCGGTTGTGTTTGTCTTTCCTATTGTGCTTTAAAGCATCAGGAAAACAAGATAAACTCAGAATGTTAAAGGCCCTATTATAAGACCCTGTGGAACCTCGCATATGAAAAGCAGCATGTGAGTAGCAGAGACCCTGAACATGAACATGAAAAGCACACATAAGCATGTGTTTACATGAATGAACTGAGAGAGAAACTCACCCTGCAATAATCATCTATAAAGCGCAGTCTCTTCATGGCCACGTCCCGTACATGACTTCGTCGAAACAGGATTTTACCTTGATGAAGACAAACAGTTAACAAAACAAATGAACAGAAAAACAAGGCAAGTACCTTCAAATGCAACCAAATCCAAACAGAACTCTCACTTTCCATACATGCAAATGAACATCTGTGACCTCAGCTGACCTGTGGAAGCTTAATTTTATTCACAAACTAACAAAATTTGTTAACAAATCAGAAATGTGCTATACACTGAGAAGAGACGTCCACGAAGTCTTGAGAATCAAATTGCAACATTTTGCTACAAAATTTAATGAATACTGTTGACGTTTTACTAGCATGCTATCTAGTCTGGGGCTAGAAGTGCTACCGCAATATAATACAGAATAGAAAATATTAATATCTGTCTGATCTTAGATGAGCTTCCTTTGTATTTAAATTAATATGCATTATGCAATGAACAAAAAAACATTACTGGTGTAAAAGGACAACCATAGAGCTATGGGAGTGTAAATGAATAGCAATGAATGTAGAGCTCAAAGTCATTTCAATCAAAGTGTATTGTGTTGTACTCTATGACATGGTTTACTGTGCAAATGAGTCATTGATTTTAATGCCACAAAACAGCATGAGCCGTTTTATGATATTGTTTATCAATGTGGAGGTCAAAGCTTATTAAACTGGGTGTGCGACTGGGTGAGGGGAGAGAGAGAGAGCGAGAGAGCATGCAACAGTGACAATGAATAAGTGTGTGTGTGTGTGTGTGTGTGTGTGTGTGTGTGTGATTGTGTGGTGTATGTGTGTTTCTCCTAGGTTGATGGATCCATAAACCTTCGAGGTTGTATATTACTTCGAGCAGGGCCATGTGTCCCACTCATCCATCAGAGAGAGAGAGAGAGGCAGAGAAGCGGTTCTGACACTTTTGTTCATCAACTGATACCAACATTGTTTGTGCAAAGTAAAATGCAATGCTATCTTGTTCTAAGGATAATTCACTGTAAATTAAATGTACATTGTGCATTTAAAAAGTTGCTGTACAGTGCAGTTTTACAGAGATTCTAAAGGCAAGCTGTGGACTGGAAACCACTCGTTAACTCTACTCCTCACAAAGCTGGAGTGGGTAATCAGGAGTGTTGGGAAAATTCCCATTTTGGAGTAATTACTGTGGGCTAACATTGCATTTCTGAAAGTGGTTTGATGCAGCCGGCCCTCCTTGTCTCCAATAAAGAACGCATTTGCGAGGTCTAAACGTCGTAACCAAGTATACATTTGTAGTAATTTCGGGGGGTAATCTTTTACACTCTTTTACAATTGATACAGCCCTAGTTTGTTGATTATAATTGCTGTGATAACGGCTGTGATGGACTGGTGACCTGTCCAGGGTGTATCCTGCCTTCCGCCCAATGACAGCTGGGATAGGCTCCAGCACCCCACCACGACCCAGAAGGATAAGCGGTTTAGATGATGTATGTATGTAGTTAGCTACCATTAGTTTGCAGCATATTAACAGCCACGGTTATGTCACATTTACCATCTTTCTGCAGTTTTATCACTAGCTGGTAATTACAGCAGATAAATATATAAGAGAAAGCGATGAATAAGGTAATATGCAATGGGGAAATAAACAACAGAAGGCAATAAAAAAGCAGTTAGCTAACTGGAACATAGTGGTTAACTAGCTAATTGGCTGCCTTTCTCTAAGTTAGCTATTAGCTCTACTACTGCACAGTAGCAGTCATCTTAAAGCACAACTATGGTTCTGGAGGGTCAGTGTCCAGCACAGTTTGGTGGTTCCTCTTCAATTTACAGAAGAGTTGAATCAGGTGTGTTTGAGTAGGAAAATTACCAAACTGTGTTGGACACCCGCCCTCCAGGAACGGAGTTGCGCCCCCCTGCTTTAAGATGACTGCTACTGTACAGTAGTACAGCTAATAGCTAACTTAGAGAAAGGCAGCCAAAACTGTGTTGGACACCAGCCCTCCAGGACCGGAGTTGTGCACCCCTGTCTTAAAGCCTAAATTTTGTCGTTAGTCTGTCCATTTCTATAGATAACAGTTGTGCAGTATCATACAAAATATGACACAGTGTCTTTTTATAGAGGCTGATACTGGGGCTATTCAAAACACTTGACCACAGTGACTGATATCAAACATGGAACCACACTAGCAAACGAAGTAGCTAACAAGCTCAGGCTGGTAGAAAAGCAAGGATTGAAATATGCTTCTGCTAAAACCTGCTGAACTTGGCAGTGAGAAAACGAAAGAGAACTTCCAGAGCCACTTCATAAGAAGTAGAAACTGTTTACTTTATGTTTACTTAATATGCACTCCTGAAACTCTCTCTCTCACACACACACATGAAAAGCTACGCTAAACAGACGCGCTACGCTAAGCTGAAACTCTGGGAAGCAGACACAGAGGGGGCGTCGTGTTACTGTCACCGTAGAACACACACTGAGCTGGGACATGCTGAGTGTTTCCAACCCCCTGCCTGGGGCTCCTGTCTGGGTCGAAACTATCAGCACTTTCTGATCTGTTACAAAAACTATCTGGTTGGAGCGACTGCAGGGAAAGTTTGTGAAGAAATTACACAAAGTTGATCACATAAGATATGTTTGGTGGGAAAGTGCTTCTTTCGTTTTGCAAGGCTAATGTAGCTAACAAGTAGTGGAAGCTAATCTCTCACCAATTTACACTGTGCTTCAAACAACACTGAAGGGGCATTCTGGGTCTACAACTAGAGTACAACATGTTATTTGTCATGTTATGTAGTCATTTGTGGAGCATCATTATATTGCTCAGCATGATAGGTTTGACAGAATTCACATTTTTATATAATTTTCATAAATAAACCCAGCATGCATTATGCAAATATGTAACCATTGTTAGTTATTGCGGTGTCAACAAATCCTTATTGCTAGCTTAGCCACTGGCCTATAGGCTAATAAATACAACCAAGCTAGCATTAAATGTACCTCTTGTCTCGGCCATCAAACAAAATCATAAGAAAACAGCGACTTTATATTTGTTTAACACAAAATGGGCACCAGAGACACTTTTTTTCACCCTTTCAGTCAGAGAATAGAAGCCAAACTGAGGTAAGATAGGTAGATAGCCAGGCAGCTGTCTTTTAACTTGTTGCCCTCCTCATCTCATGAGGCATTTCTATTATATGATTGATCTATAAAAATGTATAGAAATGGGCAAAAGTGTATCAAAACCAAAAACCATCATGGGCTGGAGGTTAGGGAACCAGCCTTGTGACCGGAAGGTCGCCAGTTTGATTCCCTGAGCCGACAGCACGTGATTGAAGTGCCCTTGAGCAAGGCACCTAACACCCAACTGCCCCCGGGTGCCATGGATAGGACTGCTCACTGCCCCCTAATGTGTGTGCTTTCTAGAGTGTCTATGTGGTGTTTCACAGCACGGATGGGTTAAAATGCGGAGGTGAAATTTCCCCGTTGTGGGACTAATAAGGGTCCCTTAACAGTAGTAGCAGCCATAGTGAATCCTCATAGCTCCAGTGCAAAACATCATATACCAAACATGTCATAGCATTAAAGCTGACTATGTGCTCAAATCTCTAACAAAGAGGAAAATGACCAAATTAGTTACGGGTCTGTTTTCTAATTGCATGAATATTTTTGTACCTTTGTACTACCAGTATAAAAAAGTTACTTTTCATCTACTCACATAGGGTTCTTTACTTTCCACATTTTTGAATAATAATAAAGACATGAAATAACACATACGCGCAATCAGAAATATTGGCCTTCTGCCAAACAGAGCTATTTAGATTCAGACAACCTCAAAACACAGACTGGCTAAAATGCATTAATTTTGACAGACACTCCATTAATTACTTTTAATGAGGTTCACACAGTAATTAGGATGGTATAATGAATGTAGTGACATAATGACTCTTTATCCAACTCTAAATTTCACTAATGTTCTAAATGAAAACTGGGAGAATTTCATATAGGACTTTGCAATTTTTTTTTTTTAATTTTCTTTCATAAATACATTTCACACAGATGTACAGATATACTTTACTATATAAAAGGTAGCACTTAAATGCTTTAAATTTGTTTCTAAGAAAAACATTGCACACATTCAGCATTTATGCTTATGTCTTTAAGATTGTGAAAAACATATGTATCTGGTGTTTCTACATCGATGGCTAGCATTGTATCTTAGCTTATTATTTGGGGTCGGAATCACTACAGACTCCACAATATTACAATATTTGATACAGTAAGAATTGCTGTGTGTTGCAATACCCTGCAATTTATTGCCTTTGACCGCAATTAATTTCCCCAAAAGAAACTTTGTTTATTTAGTGAAGTTTACACTTTGTGCATTGACTCAACAATGGGCTTCATATGCATTAAAATAATTAAGAATTCAATAAAAACATATTGATTCTAGGGCTTTCATGTCAATTTCTATGGTTATATTATTGTGATGGGATTAAAAATCACAACATTATACCCAAACATAATAGGGGTGTCACTATATGATATGTTAATATTCTTTTTTTTTGACACAGGGGTTATGAAATGATACATGCTGGGAACTGAATACAGATAGATTTCATGCTATAAAATGTGTGATAATGGGAACGGTTTCTATAGTTCTATTTAACTCAAAATATGATGTTCCTAAAAGTGAAGATCCTTCAGGTTTTCCAAAAAAAGTGAAAAGTTAATAAGAGGGTGGCAAATAGAAAGTGAGCTTCAGCTTCATGAAATAAACACAATTCTCAGAGGCTACTTCTCCCCTCATGATTCAAGCACATGCATGTAACTAGCTACCAATTTGCACCTCTATTCAGTTGTACCTCTGTTCGTTTGTGAATTCTGTGGTTTGTAATAAATAAACAAACAAATAAATAAACAAACAAATAAATAAATAAATAAATAAAATTAAAACTTCTTTTCTAATTGTACAGAAAATGTATTGTGATCCCAAAACAACAATATGTATCATTTTGTGAAATCTGCATATCATTACACTCCTAAAATGTAATGATTAAAGAAATACAAACTACTGTTACTGGACTGTTTTACAGGCCAACTTTGCAGTCTGAAAGTTCAGACACTTGAATTATTGTGTGAATTAAAATAACTATTCTAAAAGTAATCATATGTCATGCTGTATGTAAAATGGACGTGTTCACAGGAAGACTGCGGTGGGGCTTTGGAGGTATAGTGTGACCACAGTCAGACAGTGAAAAGACTGGAGACAAGAAGAAGAGAGAGGAGCAGAGTCAGCAAGGCTTGAAAATGAGCATCATATTCTCTCTCTCTCACTCTCTCTCTCCCCTGCTGCATTATTCATCACTCTTCTCCGCTCCTCCCGATGACTGTTCGACCCACTGACAGCATGTCTGTGTGTGTGTGTGGGGGTGTGTGTGTGTTTGCGTCCAGATTAGAAAGGGATGGTCTCGGCCAGCCGCTCAGATGACTTACTGTGGACAGTACTGCTGACAGCACGCATTTGTCTGTGTGTGTGTGTGTGTGTGCACGGAGGAGAGAGGGGTGGAGAAGAGAGATAAAAAGCAAAGGATGAGCAAACTCTTACCTGGAAGAAAAGGGATGATGCGCTTTTTGGGGTCTTTCTGCCCTCCCTCGATCGGGAACTTGTCAAGAATCTGCATCTGAAAAGAGGAAATGACCTTTAAACACTTTGCAACACTAAATCACCTACTGGACACAGCGGTGTGCAAATGTCTCAGGCACCTAATCACATGTTTGAGTTGTGTCATGGCAATAAGTCTTTAAAAATCACTATATATCATCAGAATAAATGCAAAAAAACATAAATAGTAACACAAATGTCTTATTTTGGACAATGTTTGGATCCAGATTTCCACTGGACTCCAGTCATCACATGGATTTGTTAAATTCCATCATCACACTTGTTTTAACATAATGAAGTACTGATTAGGCAAACCAGGTGTTGGATGATAACTACAATAATATTAATACTGGGTTTCAACAAGGAGAGGTCTGGAAATGGTTCAGCAAACTCACTCACATACATAAAGTCACTACTCACTACTTTTTTCTAATTTTTACAGGTGCATACAACTTTTGCATCGTAATGTATATTCAAATGACTTCAAATGCTGAGCATACACTACATCTAAATGTCTTTTGCCGCCATCTTATCCTTTGCTACAAACCATCTCTATTGGTCCTTCCATCATGACATGTTCACACAAAGTAAAAGGCAGCTGTCATTTTCTAAAACTATCAAGAACAAAATTGGAAAACTTGGAGTTAAAAAAAAGTTTTGAAGTTCAAACTTTGGGAATCAATTATGTTAATAACTGTTATTTGATGATCACTTGTAGACAGCGTAGACTCAAATGTTATACACAAGACAACCAAATGTAAAGAGGTGGTTTATTCATAATTCAAAGTATTTTGAGCACAATGAGAAGTTATGATGTGGCAAACAAACAGATTTAAATAATAAATGTAATTAAATGAGAAACCTTAACTGTCCAATTACAATATTTTCTTTTTTAAATGCAAAAGATCATTAGAATATATGGACAGTTATCCAAACCAATCACGTTTAAATTTGTCAAATATTATTGTTTGTAAAAGTAAACCCTCAAAAATACCTAAATATTTGGGTCAAGCTCAGTGATCTGGTCTGTCTAAATGCATGACCAACATAACAGACATAGCCAGCTAGATAAGTTTATATTATTAGTGCAAGTCAATAGATAATGTTCCTATTTTTGATCACATGGAATTCATCAATTGTAGATAAATGGCTATTCACAGAACATTTTTGGATTTTTTTGTGTTTATTGTGTTGCGTGGTTGTATAGTCTAGTGTGCTTGTACTTCAAACGATTGGGCCATTTGTGTGGGCTGTGGACTGCAAAGGTTGGAAACCTCTGCTATAGAATATTAGCTTCATATTACATGTATCATATTACATACACATACATGTACCTGCAACAAAATTGGTTTGAAATCAATGACAATGATTCCAAACTTTTGAATGCCAGCATATATGCGAAATATGTGCAATATATAATAATGCTTTTCCACCATCAATTATTCCACTACTGAGAATTATACCACCTTACTGTATCATAAGAACTAAATTTATTTACCACTTTATAGCAACCTCAAAACTTCATAACAACAACTAACAGTGCCATATAGTGAACTGGGGCAAATCCAAACTATCATAATACTGATAATGCTGAAATACTGACAGCCTAATTTCCTCATAGCATCACTGTTTGAGATGAAGGGCCTGAAAGAAAACTATGAAGAGCTTGAAGTGCTTCCTTCTCTGACTCCAAAGCAGCACTTACCAGAAAATGCAACTCAGACTTTTTTTTTTATCAATTCAACGATGACACGTAGGTCGTGACCTCTCTGTTGCGTCTCCTAATTAGTCACTGTTTGGGTTCCTCCAAACTCCAACCCATTAATCACATCCCTCCCAGCACACACAACACCTATTCCCAACGCTAATGACTGTGTGAGGGTGTGTGTATGCGTGTGCGTGTGTGTTTGCAAAGCTCCTTTGTGAAGTAATCCTCAATCGTTGTTTAATAGAACAATGTGCTATTGAGCAAAATCCTCTGACACTTAAGATCCCATTTGGGGCCCATTATATTCATCCTCCTCTGCATAATGGTCTGTTTTGAGACATTACAGCTGAGTTTCAGACAAGATGGCAGCTCTGGACGGGACAGAACGAGAGAGAGAGACAAAGAGAGATAAACTGGTCTTGGACAAAATGCTAGTTTTGGTCATTAAAGATAAGGAACGGTGATGTGTTGTTTAGTGATGTGCACGGGTAGCTGAGTACTCGGTTAGCTGTTTTACATGTCAGTAGTTGAATACTAGTTGTTTTGCTGCGTCAGGGACAAAAACCCAGGCCCACAGTTCTGGGAAACCAAGTAAAGTTTTAACAGGATGTTTGCTATTAAGTATATTTTCTTTTATACTTTGCTACTACAAAAAACCTTAATGTGCTGCCAAGAACATGTTCTCAGGGAAGCGATTAAGAAGCCAGACAGTCATATGCAAATGTTTAAACATCTCTGGTCAAATTACATGTGTTGTTGATTTTCTAAGTGAAAATAAGTTAACACATCCTCTAAAGAACTTAAGTGTGGCATTTTCTGCAGATTGTACTGCATACTTTCTATATATTTGCTGAGTTTAGCATATTGGGAAAAAAAATAAGACATACAATATAAAATGTGTCATAACTTCTGCACAGGCCACATTTTATGGTTTATTCTTTTCCCAATACGTTGAATATAGTAAATAAACAGTAACTCTGCACGAAAATATGGAGAGGTTTGTACTTTTTAGAGGATGTATTATTTTTTGTATTACAACTAAAATCTTTATTTTAACCAATGAACGCCTAATTTGACTAAGGGCACCCAAACCTTTGCATATGACCGCCTAGTGCTGCTGTAAATAGCCTAATCTCTAGAGCTTGTGGTAGACAGATCTAATCAATAAAAATTCGTCCAAAATCTTTGACCATATTTGGCTGAAAAAAATTTCAGTGGCTGAAATTTTGGTGCATGCCTATTCTCAACGTTACTTCAACACACTACCATGTTGGTTGGTCATCTATTAAAAAGAAAAATAACTGTATGAATCAGAATCACCTACTGCTGCACTGGTTAGTGCTAGTGTTAGTGCCAGCCCATTAGCTCATTCGCATCAGCCTCCATTACTCAAGAACAGTGATCAAAAAATTGTGGCTATTTCTGAATAATGAAACATGTTTTCAAATGTTCACCTCGGTGTGCTGTTAAATGTTTAAAGCCAGTAAACTACTTTATCACATTTCTGTATTATGACTCTTTAAAATCAAGTGAAAAGTATGTTTTTCTTTCTTTTTTTTCCTCACAGATAACCAAATATCAGTTCATTAATTCTTACTCGAATATCAGAATTAGTCAGAATGCAAATCCCTCATGTATCCTCAGATTCGTTCTGCTCAGCTGACTTGTTGAGTTACAGCAATACAGTGTATTTGCTTTCAACACAACTCAAATCTGCTGTAAATCTAGAGGAAGTCTGCATACAACACTTCAGATTGCTTAACACATACACATATCTGTGGAACATAGTATAAACAGGTGGGGTCAAGCATGTATACGAAAGTAAACGGCCTGAAACCGTATTAAACATACCCTACATAAGAATCTGGCTCTGTTTAAACCGAGAGACTGACCGGTAATGTTGATTATTAAATGATCAAAAACTAAAAGTTTACAAAATTACTGGAATTTACAACAATGAGCTACTGAAAGCTTTTTATTCTTAAGATCTAAAGTCAAATTTACCACCAGCCCAAGTTTAAATGAACAGAAATGCCCTGACCAGGGCTGGCTTTGGCTCAGTGTGCCACAGTAGCTCTGCAAAGTGTCCTCACCGCACTTCTCTATTTCCACACTCATGTGTGATTTCCTCACACTGCCAGCATCACACTTTCTCTCGGAGAACACAGATGAAATTACTTATTGCTTATTGCTCTTAGTGCTTTCTTAGTTTGCTTTCAATATGGTACTGTTATCGTCTTCTCATAAGGTGCTCTGCAATACTATTCTTAGCTGTCTGCTTCATATTTTAGTAGACCTATCTAGTGGAACCAATTGCCGACTGCACTCTCATCTATTATTCAAAAACATTTCTCAACTTGAAAGCTAAACCCGCCTATTCAAACAAGAACTGTTGTTTTTTTCTAAATGAAAGAAAATTAACTGAACATTTTTTACACAAATAGCATTGGTTGAACAATTTTTTGTCAGTTAAATGTACATCCATATGTGACAGTTAAGAAATGTTTAAAAGCAGGAGGCTGTAGGCAGCAGAATCAGTGACAACACCCAAAAATAGACGAGGTGGTAAAGATGAATCGCAGTGGTAGAATTGTGGCCAAACAAAGGGATGAAGTTACAAATGGCCTTCAAAGTCAAAGACTTTCATGTGGCATTATGGGATTCTAATGTTCTTTCACTTAGCTTTTAATGGTGCCTTGGGGCACCAAAGTGGCATTCAAAGCCCAAACCAAACACTAAACAAAGGCAAAAACAGCCCAGCACCCCAGTATACCGGTCATTATGAGCACCTGAAGCAAGCATGGAAATTTGTGAAGTCCAGTGGAGTAGAATGCTTAGCTGTGTCATATGAGCAAGGCTGGGAGAGAGCGGGAGTGCAGGAGAGAGAGAAAGAGAGAGAAAAAGAGAGAGAGAGAGACAGAGAGAGAGAAAGTGTATGTGTGTTATATATCTAACCGTATAAATTATTCATGGCAAAAATACACTGGTCTGCCTGGGCTGAAAAGTGCATGAAGACAGCCAGAGAAGGAAGGAGAGAGCGCTAGAAGAACAACAGGAGAAAATGCTGAGGGAGACTAATTATGAAGGCCTCTCACTCTTTCTCTTCTCACTCTGCCTGTTTTATTGTTTGTTCACCTGGTTCCACTGGGTCAAACAAGAGATGCCAGATGTGTGGTCTGCTCACTTTCACTCTCTAACACACACATACACACTTTTTTTCCTTCCTGCTTGCCTTGCTAAACTGCCCTTTCAGAAAATACATACAAATGCAAAAACTAATATAAATAAATTAAATACAAAAAAATAATTTG